GGGGCTCGTACGTGTCCCTCCGTAAATATCTCCCAAACCCTGAGTAGAGTTCAGTTTTTGAGTATGCCTGGCATTCTTTTTGTTGTTCATTTCTTATTAAACTGGTCGATTTGCATATGTGGGCGGTAATCCTGTCCTAAGGGTGTGGTCATCACTTGACCACTGTATAGCTGGATGCAATCGGCACTTTAGATATTTTCGTGGCGTGGGAACCAGCCACAGGTATTTACTGACCACAAGGAATAGCCCACAGAAATGGTCTTTAATTCGCCTAAATGCTATCTTTAAATGGTTGTCCAATTGTTAGCAACGCCCTTTCGATTCAAAGCAATTGTATGGTGATTGCTAGATACGAATCTCGTTTTTAACCAGATCATTGCACTGGCTGATGAAATTATGAAGACTATTAAACATTTAGAATACGCAACAGTAAACAAGGAATAGCCTTTCGAACTTTTGATACCCGAGGGCCTTGGGATAAACTGAAATTACGCTAAACACAATGTCGCCGTCAGGTTCAATGTGCCGTACTGTGAAAGGAGTGAGCTTTAGAAATACTGAACACGACTGACGCCGGTCTTCAGATGAGATCCTCAGTGAATCTCCCCACATAATAAGGAGCACCTGTCATTTAATATCAGTGTGCTCCAAGATTATCTTTTTTATTTTTCAAAATTAGAGGAAATGCATTTTGACCAAATGCGCACCCATTACCAAATTTTTTTGTGATGTCTCATTTTTCTATACAGTATATCAAATATAAGTGCTATACTGAAAAAAGTCTCTGACTTTGAAATGGCCCCAAAAGGACAACTCTCTCTCTCTCTCTCTCTCTCTCTCTCTCACACACACACACACACACACACACACACACACTAAAAGAAAAACTGAAAAAATAATGCGATATACTGCCAGCTCTGAGGTTAAGCTGTCATTGCGTGAGCATACTCTAAACTGTTGTTGTGAAAAAAAAAGGACCGACAGAATCAACAGCTTCTGTTTATTTCAATAAAGACCTATCGACCTAATCAATTTAAATAAAAGGTTGATAACAACAGCGGTCCATGAGCTAAGATGAAAGTATAATATCCTGTTTTCGAAGTTTATTGCACTTAAACAGCCTTGTTCTTCTAGATATTAAAATATGCGAACGGAAAACAGTAAAGCTTTCTTGCAGGCCACGAGATGGACAAATCTGAGAACGATTATTTAAAATTTTATCATCGGAAACTAACTGCAGGATGTAAAAAAAAAAAGCATGTGAAACTAAGCTCGCTCAATGTCACCTATATGTAAAATCGATAAGAGATATATCTGAATGCAGAAGATATATTTCTACAGTGTCATTTGCCAGCAAATATACCTCGAGATGCCTCCAGGACAAGTGAGAAATCCGGTGAACAGGAGTGTCTTGAATTTTAACTACAGTACCTGTTATGTATTAATCTGGACCCCCCACCCCCACCCCCGAGCTACAATTTTATTGTGTAAAGTGCCATAAAAGTAGTAAGAAAATTGGATAAAATTTTATCAGCAAGTCAAACGTCTCTCTTTCCTACATTAACGGTAGTTTTAAGAGAAATTTAAAAACATTTTTATCCAAAGAATACTGAGGCTAATTTGTCTTCTTTTATTTTTGCTTTTATTCCTTTGAATTCGTAATTGATCTAATTTTTGTTGTTGTTGTTGTTCTTATCGTTGTTTTTATCGGCAATAATATCTGTAAACAGCGCTGAGAGGTTTATGTTGCGCGGTTTTAGTTAGAATACTTCAGCGACCTAAGCAAAAAGTGCATCAAATCTGATGGATAAACCCACGTAAACACCTTTGAAATTTCCATTCAGATATCAACGTGATTCCCCTCCTAAATTTTGTACTATGAGGCGATTAGATTTGATTACATGATCACATCACCGGTTTATCTGTTATTTATTCAACTCTTTAGCAATAAATACAGGCACACGCAAGGTTGGCAGAACTCAAATAGATTTGTTAGCATGATTTTGACTTTTTCGGTACATCGCAGTTCGAGAGTGGGGTTATGCATGACTTTTTTGGTAGATAAAGAAAACGACATCAACAATGTCATCAATTAAAACTTGGTACAAAGCCATATACAAAGAAAAATATCACCACTGTAAGTAAGGATCTGACAAGAAAAATGTTGAATCTTTGATTAAAAAGGAATAAGTGGAATGTGAAAGAAATTTAGATCACTTCTAAGATCCTTCAATAAAATCATTTTCATAATTGTTTGACAGCATTATGCAGTAGATGGATATATGTAGTTGCAAGTGCGCCTTAACGCTGTACATGATAACGTCTGTACTTCATTGTCGTAATCAATAAACCATTGCAAGGTTGTGCAATGTACAAAATAGAGTTCTATACACAAAATACAATACAGCAGTTTGAAATAGCCCAGGCTTGTATTTTGATAAGTTGAAACATTCAAGACACGCACGCACGTACACACACGCGCGCGCGCGCGCGCCATATCAAACATGTAGGCCCTATTGATCAGTTTGTAGTAAGTATTTTAGACACGCAACATAAGAAATCTTATGCCTGTAAGATTAAAAATGACGACTTTCTGAGCATTTGAAGCAATACACATTAAGAGATATATTTGTTTTACATGGGAAAATGACCACAGGTGCACAATTTGTAAAGTATATCAGCAAATACCACTAATTTGCTATCTTCCCCTTTTAAGTAATTGTATTTGGCTTATGTAAAAGAGATGAATCTTGCAGATCAGCGTGTTAAAATGATGAAATAACAAGCGTCAAATACAGTGATATCCGAAATAAAAAGAATTCTAACACAGGAAGAATTACTGTACGTCGGAACGGAAATCCCCCTCAAAAAAAAAAAAAAAAAAAAAAAAATTATACCTCCTTCTTTAACATTAAACTACTTCAAAAAAAAAAAAATCGAAAGATGATGATAAGAAATCATATCATAACTTAACGAGTTTATATAGATTTTTTTTTCTTTTGCTACAGAGAGCCACGCGAAACGCGATATATGGAAATTTTATACTGAATGAAGAACGCTATGGACAAGTACAACGTTTATAAAAAATCACAACCTTTTATTCTATGAGATGATTTAATTGTATCTTATTTCATTGTGCCTGCTTACCCAACAAGTTATAAGTGCATGAATGAAAACGATAATGTCTCGTCAGTGCTGATTTTACCCACATATTGTCTAAAACACACAAACGCATTGAAACATAACCAAATTGAATCACGATAAAAATATACTTTAAATACTCTCGGCGAAACCTTCTCCAATTTTATTCAACATTTTAGGTATTTGTTGGAATGTACTTTTCTCGCCAGTGTTTCAGTTAAAGGCTTGATTCTGTCCTATTGATGAGACCGATGAACTAATTTAGAAATGTTATATAATGTAAATAACTACCGGAATCAAATGACGTTGATAAGAAACCGCGATCGTAATTAGTTGATTTACCTATATCCTTCTTTGTCACCGTTGTTTGAGCCTCCTGTTAGTATGCAGCTGCCCGGTGACAAAGTAGACGATTGCCATGCTTGTATGGCGCTGATTGCGACGATTTCGTATTAGCGGGCATTAAACATTATTATTCTCTACTTGTAGAGACTGTGTGTAACAAGATATCTGAAGATTTGCAGAATTGCCATCTTACCGGAGTATTTAACTCTTGTTCAAGTAATCGTTACCGGGGATCGCTAGATGCTGACAAAAGCGATTAGTTTACGATTACCATTTATAAAGCCAACAAAAAAGAAAATGCCGAAAAGCTGTTTTCCCCGAGTTCAACGGGCTCCACAGTCGCACAGGAATTTCAAATACCTTGATAAATTTGTCGAATAGCTGCGCAATTTGCTGCTATCGAGTGGTTGTCTTTGTAATCTTAGACATGTTTTCTCTCACTTGACTGCCTACACAATGCCATTAGAATCCTATCAGATAAATCGAGCGGAGACTGTCAAGCCAGCCAATAGCCCTTGAACACTGAGTGATTTCACGATAGCAGAATTTAATGGTGAAGCACTTCAAGATAACTTTTTTAATGAATTGCTCGTAGTCTTGTGTCAGATTTACCCTAGGATAACGATTTGGCATTTGACGTAAACAACGCGCTTAAAATACCACAAAATGGTGGATCCACGTCCACATTGATATATTTTGATTTTATTCGCGGTGAAAGGCGATGACATGTCAAAAACCAAATTGCGTCTTCCCATAAATTTTTAGATATTGCATCATGATTTGATCTTCCTTTTGCAAACTAAACTACCATGTTGATAAGATTCTTCTGAAATTAAACGTGAACGAATCAACAGAAAATTAAGTGAATTAAAAATATTGGCAAGAAATTGAAATGCTACAGTGAAAAGGTGCTAGGGGTTTTTGCAATATCTACACGTGTTTGTTTTCACGTTCTTATTTTTTAAAAAATTGGATGACTGCAGTTCTATTCCATCTAAGATGGGAGTTTAAGTAAAAATTCTTTGGCCCTAAAGTATATTGTGCGTATGTGTAGGATTTCAGATAATCTGTATCAAAAAGTTATGTGCAAAATATCAATTACCTCATAGGAATGACTAGATAATACAATTCTCAATAATCTCTGGTCTCTACAAATCACTATGTGATACTATGATAAGTTTACTTTTACTTAATGTAAAAGGTTTTAGAATTAGTGAGCTATTCACAATTTTTTACTAACATAGCTTGCAAAACTACATGTAGATGCTAAATGAATATAACATAACTGTATGGATATTTCAGCCCAGAGAATCTCGAAAAAAAAAAAAATACTTTACTGTTATTGAAACCTTTACACTATTTCGAAAAATAAAAAAAAAATGTAAAAACACGCACACGTATGTGAAAATGCTAATTAGACCAGTAGCTGACATGTCATAAAGCGAACAAAATTCCTAATCTGAGAAAGAGATAGAGAGTTGGGTTGTCAATACAAAATAAGAACAACAATTGGATGTCTTACAATTCAATTTATTTCACATACAAAGAAATAGAAAAAACATGAACATTTACAAAAATAACTTATCTTAGTTTATATGTACAGATTGGATTCCATAGCGTACGGAGATAACGACAGCTTGCCCGCAAGCCTTTTAGTAAACGAATATCAATCTTCGATAAAAGGCCGTCCATGCCCTTGCTTTGATTTTTGCTTTTTTAAACATTCTTCGTTCGTGTGAATTCTTCTTTCAGTTCCTTTTTTTTTTCTGTCAGCAACTACAATTTCATGTCGAACAATATCGCAAAAGACACAAGCTATGTAACAGAGACGAAACAACGATGGTTTCAAGAAAATACACAAATACAAATTTAAAAGAGTATTTTGTCATTGTAAAAAGTAAATCACTAAATTGTACTTCATTATTAACATTTTAAAGAAATGCGTTTTTAATCTTACAGGCAAGTACACTTGCACGATAACCTATATAAAATTAATTCCCGATTCTTCGACTTATATAAAATAGTCCAAAGCATCAACACAAACTGCCGTCATAAAATGGCAAGCGACAAGTGATTGTACATGCCAAGAGAAAAGTGAATAGTCTGGTTTGGATCATAACCGCTTTTAAACAATCGCACAGTTACGTTCAGTTGCCAGTCTCAGAAATATGTTGTCTCAAACACAGTTAATTGGACAAGGCTTCCGATGAGGGTGAAGATATATATAAACGGCAGGTCTTTTAATGAGTTGCCAATTTCCCCCATTGTTCGGGTAATGAACTGCCAAGAAAACTTCACCATAATGTAATTGTTATTTGATAAGCCAGATCGTATCGCGTTTTCGGCGTGGCAGGCAAGTTGGTTGACACCTCAAACGATACCCGTCAGGGATGAGCGGAGAGATGAGATCTGCGAGTATCCCGGGGAGTAGTACAGAGGTGGGTACGCCGTGGGCATCACTGACGGGAGGGAGCTAGGGTGATGGTCCCCGGCGGCCGGAGTTCCGTGGCTGTGGGCATTCTCGTGGTAGAGAATCGGTACCCGGACCAATCTCTGGGCGTGGTGGGCCATATTGGCAGCCTCCAGTTCCGCCGCCAGTTGGCGTTTCCACTTGTTACGGCGGTTCTGGAACCATATTTTCACCTGAGTCTCTGTGAGATGGAGGGAGGCAGCCAGTCCCGCTCTCTCAGAGCTGGACAAATAGCGCTTCATGTCGAATGTTGACTCTAGCTGAAAAACTTGGCTGCGAGAAAACACTGTGCGAGTTTTCTTTTTCCTCCGGTTTTTGTTAACGTCATCAAGTCCCGAGTCCGTGCTATCATTAAGGTTTCCGCTACCGTGGCTTTCGTTAAGAGGTTCATTGACACTGATATTGTCACTGCACTCTGAAGATTTGTCGTCGTGATCTACCTCGACGCCGTCACTCTTGTCACTGTTGATGTCCACACTGTGTGGTGACGTGGGGGTTGGTGGACACGGGGTAGGACTCCGGGGTGACAGTGCCGGGGACGACTGGCGGTCGGGGGGAGAGTGGACAGGGTGCAACTTCAGCTGTTGTGAAGATGGGACGTGAACGTGACCCATTGGAAAACCGCTTCCTAAGAAATAAAATAAATAAATAAATAAATAAATAAATCGAAAACGAATAAATACAAGTGAAATAATAAACAATAATTAAATACTTATTTTATTTTAGGCCATCAATTTACATGTTATCATGTTAAATGTTGTAGGATAGGGAAGATTTATTCCACCTTAATAATATTTTGCAATGTGGCAACTCAATGTTTTGGTTTGTTAAGTTTTCATCAATTAAGTATTTCTATAGATATGCCAAATATCAGATGTTATCAAGATAGATAAGTTGAATGATATATAAGACGACAATTTTGATGAAACATTCTTTTGTTTTGATGTTGTATTGATTTTGTTTCTTTGAATTGTACCCAACATCTTTTGGGGTGTATGATAATTAAAATAATATTTTTAAGCTCACTGTGAAAAAATTTTATATCAATTTCTATTTTGTCGAGAGTGGAAACACCCTTAAAAGAAATATTCGTTTACATTTAGGTATCTGTAGGCTATTACAGAAGGAAAAGGTGTTGTCATTTAAATTTTCAAAGTACAATTAAATTAACATAATAAATATTAATACAACAAATTATTAGTTAAAAATATATGAACGATGTTGAATTTATTCACTTTACTGACAATAAGACCTATGGTAAAGAATGTTTCGTAAATTATTTGACACAACAAATTTTTTTTTTAATTGCACGTTCAAGATCTCTCCAATAATAATGAAGGTGCCATATATCAAATATTAGAGAAAATAATCATACTGAACTAATTAAAAAAAAACAAGATAAATATATTTTTTTAATGTAAAAAGATATAACTTACTTTCCAGCGGGAGATGAAGGAACGGGGCGTGGTAGGGCCAAGGGTACCAACTCGGGTGTTTGCCGACCAGGCCGCGCTCGAGCAAATGAGAAAACGTGGGATGAAATAACGGAGTTGGATGCACTGGCTCCGGTTTACTAGGAGAGGAATCGGCAGCGTTGTCGCCCTTCTCCGCCTCTGATGCCCGTGTTTGTTGTCTCTCCTTTTCTCCATCAGGTCTACTGAGGATGCTGCTGATAGAGAACGACTTGGCTCCCGCTCCCCTCTCTTGTTCCGTCATGTTGAGTGGTCCAGTAGGTAATGTTTGTAAATTGTTGACTACAAGCCTTATTAATTTGTCGAGTGCTGCGCAGCGTTCTCACGCAAGTATAGTGTAGGGTCTGGTGTCGGACGTGGGTGCGGCGGTGTATTTTAAAACTCAGGTGGCAGAGACAGCTTAACCGTGATGGCGCCGATCACAGGGAGCGATAATAACTACAAGAGAAAAGAGTAGCAGAGAAGTTAAATGGATGACAAATGGACTGCATTCGCGATTGGTCGAGGACAATACATAATAGGATTAGAAGCACACAAGCCAAGGAGCCAGGTCCACCCCGCCAATCACGGACAGAATAGCGAAGAAAGAGCTGATTGGCGGACGGCACAACGACCAATTAGATCCACGACTGTTGACATTTTTGTGTCAGCAGCTTGTCAGATTTGTTCGGTGAACAGTAGTAATTGAACAATTATTAATCAGCTGTCTTCTCGCTAATGGGTTTGCTTTTCAACTTTTTTAACGGAAAAGATACCCTGAACGCAAAATGACATCTCCTGCCATAAGCTTCCGGCAAGTTGCATTAATTCACCTTGACTCAGGTGCCACGAAGAACTAAAAACTTGCATCAGCATCGTGACCGTAGACGCTTCCATTAAATGATGGTAAAAAGAAGACATAAAAAGAGTTCGCGTTGCGTGTGATTGCATTTGAATTGCTCTAAATTTTCTCTTTTCTGTACACGAAACCATCGAACAAGTGAACGAGTCGTCGGCAATTTGTCAGCTCTTACTAGAACATGTTATTGTTCGGTGGAAAAGTCAGTGATTGCGAAGAGGGATTAAGGACTTTCATGCACAATAGCTTGTCAATGGGTGAAACTAGGGGTTCTATCAGAGTTAAATGGTCTTAAAGCAGCAGTCAACTATTCAAGAAGAAAAATCACCGGCAATCCAATCCACACTATTGAAAAGAAAGAGAGCTGCATGAAAGAACTCTTGCCGTTTAAGTACCCTTTCCCATTTAACGACAATACCTGAACAGAAACATCACCTCCGGACAATCTGCGACAAATAGCAAGTAAATGGTGATTAAATGTTCTTTAATACCGCTTGCCATTACAGATGGGTAATTGAGTGAGACAATGGGCGGGTATGGTGATCAGATCAGACGGGTTTTGTTGTAATTTTCTTCTTGATTGAATCAGCGATCACTATCGACGCTCTTGTCGTGTCACTTGCAGACCTACTCACTCGGAACCAGTTTTTAGAAGCAATTAATTAACGGTTCTTCCAAGAGCTCTTTTCTCCATTATCTCCGGAAAATGTTCCTTACCCCTAGGCACGCCATCATTAGATCGCTTTTGTCATTTTGCTAATGATGTACCCGTGGGCGCGAAAGCTTGCTCAAACACAGGAGATTGGTTGAAAATTGGAAAGCAAGCTTCTCACAAGTTGCACGGTTGCGCTAAAGTGGCATCATTAAAAATTGGCGAAATGAAAACGTTGCATGCTGCATACTTTAGGGCACGGCCTGGGGGAAGCCTCAGCCATATGCTCAGAAATAGAAGACCTTTCACGACAAAACCTATGAAAAAACGGTCTCATTATTTTCTTCAGTAATGAGGAAAAACAAATCAAGTCAAGTGATCACGCTTTCAACGTTCAATTATTTCCTATTGCGCCGTAAAATTGGAAATCTTCAGTTTTCACAGTCAATAGAAATGAAGACAATATGAATGAGGTATAACCTTAATCAGTTCGATAAAATTGCATTTGAAGGCTGGTGGGCCACAACGGAGCCATTAGGGGAAGAAACCAAGAAACTCTTTATGATTCGTAATTTGCTTGGCACTGGATGAAAATTTGCCAATCGAACAAAATTACGCTTAAAATTTTCATTTCACTCACTAAATGGCCCGCGGAGTTGCGGCTTGATGAAATGCATTCCCAAGTGGGCGGGGCAATACCAGGCTAGACAACGAAATTTGGAAGGCTGCCCCTCTCTGCTGGATCACTCACGTCCGCGGGGACCATTTCGCAAAAACGTACCGAAAAGAACAAACTAGAAGCACAATTAGCCTGACTAACTCAGTCAAAATTGGAATGTTGTGTGTTGAACAGATCTTTTATGTAGTCGTTATCAGGTTATAAGTGGTCATTAGTAGGGTGTCGGTACGGCAGATTATCAGGCCGATCTATCCATCTTCGCGGGCGTGCGGACGACGTGCGGGTCCAAAGGGAGTGCTTCTTAGAAAACCTATTCCAAAATAGAGTGTCGTGACAGGGAAATATGTAGGTTTTCTGTCGCCGTTTCGATTTCAGTGCCATTGATTAGAATTATGTTTTAGTTATTTCAATAAAATATAGTCCCAATAGAAATGATACCTTCATTGTGACTATAAACCGTTTGAAAGTTTTCTGTTTGTTTGTTTGAAAGATTGCAAAATCTGCAAATATCGTTTTTCTATTCTTTCAAAAGCCACAAACAGGAAAACGAAGGCCGCTTTTCTCAGACTAATTCGATATATATTCCTAGGACAAATCTGGCATTTGATTCCCCTCAGCTTGATGTTACCTTTTTAATTAATTATAAAAAAATAATGTTGATTCTTTTTTGTTTAGTGAGGTACCCCAACAACCCCCAAAGCATTCTTAAAGACTTCAACATTTCTCTTTGAGAAGTTAATTTACCGATGTTCTATTCAAAGTAAACAAAACTGCTATCCAGTTGTATTGATAACGATGGAAAAAATAACACTAAAAGGATCATACTGAACAATTTGCTTAAGATCATTCAAATTGTAGATACTCTTTTCAATAGATTGATAAATCAACAAAATGCCAGTCGATTGTGTTAGATTTTTCATGTTTGATGACGTGAGCGATTTATTCTGTTTTAACCATATAAATCTAAAGAGATCAATAGTCATCTTGACATTGTAATACATACTATAACATTTTATTGAAAGGAGAAATGGCACTAATGGTGCCCTGCGTTTTTCTTTTTCTATCGGGTGAATGGAGAGCATCGCCAAACTGAATTATCACATGTATGTAGCGACAGAAAAAAGGTTATTCAAAGATAATCATGAAATGATTGCGTGCTAAAAATCATGCTCAGATGTTTTATTTAAGGCATGAATGTAGCTAACATCTTTAAATGACGATAAACAAACAAGCGCATAAAATGGTGAAGGAAAACCACCTGTGCAAATTGCCGCTAGACAAAATGTTAAAAGGAAAAGATCAGTAATATCTGCAGATAAATATGACTGCAACCTACAAATCTGCAATAATTTGATTACATGGTTGATAACAAAGAAGAAAAAAGAAAGAAAAAAGGAGAAAAGCAATGTCAATCAACATCACCTTATTTATCAGATAAGATACTGAGATCCTGCCTCCTTGTTCTGCAAATCAACGTCTTATTAAACGGAAGTTGATGTCAAATTTAATATACAACGCTTGATGTCACTTGCATTAAAACAATACAGGTGATCATATTTTCTTTGAAAGAATTATGGTTCTTTCAAGCCAGAAAGATGAAAACGGGCGTTTTAATATATAGGATAACATCGTTTAAAAAAGGATCAGTGACAGAACGTAAACGGACGAATATAAAAGCAATATCCTTTGCTTGGATGTAGCACACTCAGTTTATCCTTAAATGAAATATTGACGATCAAATAAAGTTGAATTAAATGTCATTTTGATAATTTCATCTTAAAGGTTTGTTTCCATCGGTGTCATTTTACATTCAAGTTTGTTGATTTATGATTTATGAATTTTATTCATAGTGTAAGAGTGATAAGTTTAACATGATATCTGTAAAATAAATCTGCTTAAGTGTTTTATTGACAAATATTAGTTCTAATTGGGATCTTGTCTACACAGTAAGTTAAATGATAGCACTCTCTAATTTTTCTATTGAAAAGTACTTTTTTACAGGCAAAAAAGGAAATGTTTGTTACAAAATCATGTTTTTCTTCGGGAGTAACTTCACAAAAATAGTGTCTTTCATAACAGGATAGCGCACTTGGCGTCAGGTCACAACATTTTAGGCCTACTTTCGCATAAATACTAATATCTTAAATCCTCTTGATCCAGATTATGATTGAGATTGGCTCTATTTTTACGGGGAATATGGACATCGGTATGGAAGTATGGAACGCAGCACCACGGGCACGATTCGAACGGTTATCTGCACGCAAGTAATCGAGCAAGAAAAATTGAAATTGCATCCCAGCCATCCGATAGTCGGTTCGATCTTTACAATCAACTTTTAACCGTATTCAGTTAAGATCCGAAATAGCGCGGAAATCGGCGAACGCAAGGATGTTAATTAAAATGGTAATTCTGTCCCTTTCGGCGGAGTTATGCTGTCAGATTGATGTAGAACAAGAGTGTAATCATTAGAAAATGACAATCAGCGAATGGCAGATAACTAATAGGTCTCTAATCGCGGTCTTTCTCGTTATTTCATTCCTTCAAGCGGTAAGTCGAGAACAATAGAAACAATCCCTATAACACAGAATATTTCTTCGCCATTTAAGTTCTTTTTCATAATGAATATGTGAAAATTACATCTCAGTCGTTTCAGTTTTGCTTTTAAATATAAAGAAAAAGGACTGTATGGAATTTGAAAAGGTGAAAAGTGAGTGAGGCAAAGCTTTCTCATTTTATTCGCTAGATAGTCTACACATATGGAAAGGTCAGATATTTATGAGATCTACCACCTAAAAATTCTAAAGGACAATTCATATAGACATGTATATATATATAAATATATCAGACACGTCTTGGCAATTTTAAAAATGGCGATGAAATGGACTTGATTTGTTTAGAAATGTTTTAGCTTAAGGGCTGTTATTCTTTATATAAATTGTTTTCTATTTTTTTCTTTTTTATATGGATATGGATATGGATTGCTAGTTTACCTTTGAAAAAATAAATGAAGTATGAAAAAGAAGTACAGGCAATATTCACTATTGTATGATGAGAAAACTCGAGTTGATTAAAATTAAGAAGATTATGCAACTATACATGGATATTGATATGCATTATCATATTGTTGTTTGAATAAATTATCAACCGTATGTTAAAAAGACAATTAACCATCATCTTTTCCCTAATTATGACACTATATTTCCGTTATTTTGCATATTCTGTGCCCGGTAATACTATAACGTATCATTATAGGAATAATCAAAGAGCAT